TTGCTTCTAGCATTGCATGTAGGGCTAGGCAGTAGACCCAATAATGTGCTTCAGGGACTGTGAGGCAGACTACCACTGGCCTAGCCTTACTCCAAGGCTGTACTGAGTGCTAAGCCCATCTATGTATAGTAATTATATCCTTTAAAGATGCAAGTCGTGATAAGCAGACAGTAAGGACGTCAGTCTATTATTTATATTTGTTTAGAAAATAATAATGTCTTCATCATGTGCAACACATGTGTCTGTGATTCACTATTAAATTGTGTTGATCCTAGGTTTTCGCGAAAAACTGTGTACTAGTATGTCCTGTCCTACCTCTTGCATATGACACACAATGACTCAGTGAGTGAGTTTAGTTTTACGCTGCTTTAAACAATATTCCAGTAATATCAGGCCGGGGACAAAGAAATGGGCTTCACAAAATGTACCCATGTGGGGAAACGAACCCGGGTCTTAGGTGTGACGAGCGAACGCTTTAACCACTAGGCTACCCCACCGCCCCTATACATGCACAGGCAAGTCAATAGATTACTAAAACTAAACGGATACATGGTACATGTTAAAGTTAGGAATTGCATCCTGATTATGTCATCTTATGGCCATGGATACGTAAATAACATTATAAATAAATGTAAATAAAATGAGAGATTTTTACACACTTTTCAAAACCTAAAACAGAACTAGTATTCCCAGAGATTTAATATCTGTGTACAGTGTGGTTCAAATGTATTAATTGGTCATTGGTGATGAAAGACTGTTCCTCTGCTGTGTGGTGAATTTGACAATATATCGAAGTCAGACGTATGACTGGTATGGACGTCATATATCACCCAACAGTTTACTGTTAACCCTGGCATCTTGTATATTATCTGTTCTACGCTAAATGTGTCTCACTTAGAAACGGATTTAATTAACAGTGACCATTTTGTACTGAAATACATCCTTCATATTTTCATTTGAAGGATTTCCGTACATCAGTATTGCTATCGGATCGCGGTTATGGAACGTGTGTTAATGTGACTTAATCAATATAAGAAATTCAGTTTAGCATCCAGTTAATTAATTTCGCCCATGGTGTTCCACATCTCGTCAGGGGGATGTCAGTACAACCTATCCGACAGACGCGCGCCGGTGCTCCAGCTGACACGTGAGCTCTGATTGGTTGACCTGACACATGTCAGTCTTAATGAGGAATAATGGTCAGTGCCACTGAGGAAATCAGGCAGGACCTTATAATGCCATTCTTTGTCAGTCGAGGATATCAATCATACAGGCAAATGTGTTAATAAGTTTTCCATAGGTGGAAACGTTCTTTGCGCGGTTTCAATATCGTGTTACAAGCTGATTTATGGTTGTTGGGGTATTTTGGGTTTGTTTCCACCGAAAACAAATAATCGATATGTCATAATTTGTTCTATTTGGAACTTAGTTTAGGAATAACTTCATCCAAAAAAGGTACGATCTAAGATTTCAATGGACACAACTGTCCTGTGTCATTGGAATAATTCACCGAGGAGTCTGCTGTCTGGCATAATTTCATTTGATATTTTCTACAAGAACGGTACTTTTGGGGTTTCATGGGATACTTTCTCCAAGAACGGTACTGTCTGGGGTTTCATTGGATACTTCCTCCAAGAACGGTACTGTCTGGGTTTCATGGGATACTTCCTCAAAGAACGGTACTGTCTGGGGTTTAATTGGATACTCCCTCCAAGAACGGCACTGTCTGGGATTTCATGGGATACTTCCAACCAAGAACGGTAACTGTCTGGGGTTTCTTGGGTACTTTGGATACTGTCTGGGGTTTCATCCAAGAACGGTACTGTCTGGGGTTTCACTGGATACTTCCTCCAAGAACGGTACTGTCTGGGGTTTCATTGGATACTTCCTCCAAGAACGGCACTGTCTGTTGTTTATTTGGATACTTCCTCAAAGAACGGTACTGTCTGGGGTTTCATGGGATACTTTCTCCAAAAACGGTACTGTCTGGGGCTTATTTGGATACTTCCTCCAACAACGGTACTGTCTGGGGTTTCATGGGATACTTCCTCCAAGAACGGCAAACTGTCTGGGGTTTATTTGGATACTTTCTCCAAAAACGGTACTGTCTGGGGTTTCACTGGATACTTCCTCCAAGAACGGTACTTTCTGGGGTTTCATTGGATACTTCCTCCAAGAATGGTCCTGTATGGGGTTTAACTGGATACTCCCTCCAACAACGGCACTGTCTGGGGTCTGTTTGGATAATTCTTCCGAGAACGGTACTGTCTGGGGTTTATTTGGATACTTCCTCCAAGAACGCTACTGTATGGGGTTTAATTGGATACTTCCTCTAAGAACGGCACTGTCTGGGGTTTCATTGGATACTTCCTCCATGAACGGTACTGTCTGGGATTTCATGGGATACTTGCTCCAAGAACGTTACTGTCTGGGGCTTCATGGGATACTTCCTCCAAGAACGGTACTGTCTGGGGTTTCATGGGATGCTTCCTCCAAGAACGGCACTGTCTGGGGTTTATTTGGATACTTTCTCCAAGAACGGTACTGTCTGGGGTTTCACTGGATACTTCCTCCAAGAACGGTACTGTCTGTGGTTTATTTGGATACTTCCTCCAAGGACGGTCCTGTATGGGGTTTAACTGGATACTTCCTCAAAGAACGGTACTGTCTGGGGTTTAATTGGATACTCCCTCCAACAACGGCACTGTCTGGGGTCTATTTGGATAATTCTTCCGAGAACGGTACTGTCTGGGGTTTATTTGGATACTTCCTCAAAGAACAGTACTGTCTGGGGTTTCATGGGATACTTCCTCCAAGAACGGTACTGTATGGGGTTTAATTGGATACTTCCTCCAAGAACAGTACTGTCTGGGGTGTCATGGGATACTTCCTCCAAGAACGGCACTGTCTGTGGTTTATTTGGATACTTCCTCCAAGAACGGTCCTGTATGGGGTTTAACTGGATACTTCCTCCAAGAACGGTACTGTCTGGGGTTTAATTGGATACTCCCTCCAACAACGGCACTGTCTGGGGTCTATTTGGATAATTCTTCCGAGAACGGTACTGTCTGGGGTTTATTTGGATACTTCCTCAAAGAACAGTACTGTCTGGGGTTTCATGGGATACTTCCTCAAAGAACGGTACTGTATGGGGTTTAATTGGATACATCCTCCAAGAACAGTACTGTCTGGGGTGTCATGGGATACTTCCTCCAAGAACGGCACTGTCTGTTGTTTATTTGGATACTTCCTCAAAGAACGGTAATGTCTGGGGTTTAATTGGATACTTTCTCCAAGAACGGTAGTGTCTGGGGTTTCATGGGATACTTCCTCCAAGAACGGCACTGTCTGGGGTTTAATTGGATACTTCCTCAAAGAACGGTACTGTCTGGGGTTTAATTGGATACTTCCTCCGAGAGCGGCACTGTCTGGGGTTTCATGGGATGCTTCCTCCAAGAACGGCACTGTCTGAGGTTTCATGGGATACTGTACTAGTTAGGTTTTCATTGGATACGTTCTCTGTAGTATGATTATACATCCGTGAAACACTTTCAGTTTGATCCCGTACATCATTTCTCACAAACAATACACGAAACAATCTCACTACTGTAGATGTCTTAATGTTTATAATAAATTAATAAATCTAAGCTGGAGTGGGTGTTTGCAGACAGACTGTCTTATTATGTCTACATCCTGTGTCCATACAACCATGTTTCAAGGGTCATTTATTCGAAAATTAAATAGAAGAATTTTGCTATATCTATATCTTTAACTGAGGCAATTCTGTCTCGATCTGGCCTAACCCTTAACTTCAAGGGATGGACAATTTGATTGTGTGTGTACTAAGTATGTTACCCTATCTCACAATGCCAACCTCACAGATGCCACTGTGACTACTAGCTGCAATAAATGTCCCAGATGACGGACGTGGATAACGCGGAGAATCTTCACAGAGGAAGGCGCGATCTGTAATGTCATTAACACCTTATATATTATCTACCGGATTTACACAATGCTCTGTTGACCCCGTGGTCGTGTGGGAGATTGAATCACATAATCTGATTTAAGGTCCCAGCGTGTGATAAATACAAACTTAGTGTCGTGATTCAAGTTGCCCACTGTGAAGGGATCCTTTGTCCCCTCTCTTGTGGGAATACATTACATTGAACCTGGGAATGGTAAGACCTATGTACTGCAGAACGTTCGCTTCACTCCGACAATATAGTAGGTTATAGAGGAGTGTGAAAAGGTACTAGTAAAGCATTCTCTTCCCACAGAGGTTACTTGTCATATCTTCCTACGAACCTCTGTTCTAATACGGCCCTTTCATGGTGCGGGTGTTCAGGATTCGTGATTGGTTGCAATCAGATTTAGTTGTGCAATCAGCGACGTTCTTTCGTAGGAAGATATGACAAGTAACTTCTGTGGGAAGATATGACAAGTAACTTCTGTGGGAAGATATGACAAGTAACTTCTGTGGGAAGAGAATGCTAGTGAAGAGGATTGGATAATATCTGTAATAAAAAATCTTAACGCAATAACTGTCAGATGTGAGAATAATCGTAAGTCACAGCATATAATAGATTTGGACTTTGTTACAATGACCTATTAGAAATTAGGGCGTTTAATGTTTTGCTAAATTATATTTCATTACTACATTTGCTAATACGAAAGACGTGTTTAGAGTATAAATTAGATCACAGGACGAGGGAAGAGATATTACTTCAAAACGATCCTCCTCCTCTTCATCATCGTTATCATCATCATCATCATCATCATCATCAATCATCATCATCACCACCACCATCACTTTTGTCATGTTTGAAGTGCCTTAGTGCTAAGGTCCAAATTAGCCCTTCGTCGAAGAAGTCTCACATGTGATAGTTGGTCGACAAAGCTATGAAATCATATATCTTGTGTCACTCGTGGCTTTCATCCTGATGTCACCATGTCAAGGCTTCGAACAAATTTCACTCACTAACTCCCCGTTCTGTTCACAGGCATCCGGATCACGTTTCGGGGTCGGGCGTTCGTGCACTGGACGGAACAGCTGATGAGGGGGCCAGGTGAGAGTCGTTTCCGGGAAATCCGTCACCACGCAGCCAAGGAGGAATATTTCGACGTGTCACATCCTCTTATACCTAGGGGTAAGTAGCTTTGTCTGAATCTGTCCTTGCGCCCCTAGGCGTACGTTGGCCCTTCCAGAGAGGTGAATCCTTGTAGGATGGGGCAAGTTGACTCGCTCGTATAGGCTTGACCCGTCCACAGGTGGGTGAGTGAGGCTTCGGTAATATTCCGGCAACATCACGGCAAGAGATAAAAGCAATGGGTTCGCACTCTGTACCCATGTGAGGAATTGAGCCCAGGTATTTGACGTGACGAGTGAACGCTTTAACCACCAGGCTACCCCACCGCCCCTCCCGTCCACACAACTAGTAACATACACTATTGGGACGACTAACACCAAGTCTCTGAAAATGTAATTTTGACAGAAACAGATAATATAAATTAAAAAGAGACCCAAAGAGCCTGGTTCAAGAACTGTAAGACAAGTTATTGTGTTACAGCATTCCTCTTTTCGATGTTGATGTTTGTTTGTTTTTCTGTACCTAAAACAGCACCAGATCTCAGTAAAAGCATCACAAAATATGCACACATCGCTACAGGAAGAGCAACCGAGGTGTACGTACTCACTGTCCCGATTCGGACATCGAAGAGTTCCTAACAATTGTTAAGAAAGATAAAACCAGGGCTCCGGAATGTTATTTAACTGTTAGTCCGGTGTCGCAATAGCTGTCGATGAATGTGCAACAGCGCAATGTTCTTTAAAGTAAACCTGCACAAGTCTATGAGACTATACACATATTAGGAACAAGTTGTCCCTATAAAATACTGGCGTCCTTAGACTGTCCGTTTGTCTAGATTTGCCTGTTACAAAGAATAGAATAACCATACACCCTGGTATCCTTTAGTACAGCTTTTGAGCAAGGCTACGTACAAAGCTGTCGATTGAACGGCAAAACTGTCATCGGTGTGGAAGTAGCACATTTACCACTAAAGATGTCCCTAAAATCTGTCAACGGAGTTGCAACAATGTAATGTCCGTTAAAAAAGTCGACGAGGTGACCACATAACTGTATCCGTACATGGTGCAGTTACCTCAAAAGATAAGTTGAAACAATTTACTGTCCCTAAAATCTAAAACAGAGATGCAACAACGTATGGTATCTAAAAGCTGTCAACAGAGTTGCAAATGTCCTTGATAGGTGTCCACGCAATGTCCCTAAAATCTATTTCAGTAAATGGAAATGAGAAAATCAATTTCAACCGTGTATTTAACTGCTCGTTTCACAGACTTCTCACTTCAAACCATCTACTTAGACCAACCTGTTCATTAGCCACTCTGCTAACTGTCCGAGTTCTCTATATTTAGCATCATGAAGACTTAATAAAGACCCATCGAACGTGTTGGCCCATTACGCGCATCGGTCTCTCGGCATGAAACCAATATCATCAAGAAATTAAGCTTGATAAAGCTTAATAATTTAAAGGATACCACAGTTTACTGGATCTCGTTGATATGATGAATTTGGCACTCGAATTCCCTACCCGGTCGCAATTTAATTTCTAAAGCTCTTTGCTAATGTACAGATAGAACTCTCGGGAGGGGATGTATTTTGTTTTCATCTTTCTGTCTGAAATAACTATGTCTGTTATGTTGAAAGATAGGGCAATATCACTTTACGCCTGTGTATCTATGTAGAAACCAAGAGAAGAGAAGAGAAAATATGTCTCTGCGGGGCTGTATCAAAAGTCATAAAAAACATTATTTGAATTTTGATTGATACTGGAGTCTCGCTAGTGTGATCGAGGAAACGTTTAATGTAAAATACTTTGATTTAATCTAATCTCCAAACCATCACGTTTTAACATTAAATATCCCTAAATCTTAAATGTGATTTCGCCATAATGCATTATCAGAATTCGAAATTGACGGTGGCGTCCATGCCCATGTATTTACAAGATTGTATATATAAAAAGTCTCATGATGGTAGTTCCTCACTGACGAGTATTTCATGGTGGTGATTCAGATCCAGTTCTCCAAACTTCAATCTTTGCTCAAGAATTGGAACTGCATAAAACTGACAAATGTAAACACAGTAAACACGTTTGTCTCGTTTATTCCGCCCGTTGGTAAGGAGTTGTACTTTGTTTACAAATTCGCCTCCCATAATCTATATATAGGGATGTGATAGCATAAAATGTCGGTGGAAAGGAGTTTTGTGTCATCACCAACCCATATTTATCTCATTACATCAACTGGTACTTCAAGCAGCCTAGAGGTTAAATAGTTCGCCCGTCACGCCAAAGACCCGGGTTCGATTCCCCACAAGGGTACAAATGTGTGAAGCCCATTTCTGGTGTGCTGGAATATTTCTAAAAGCGGAGTAAAACCATATTGACTGACTCACTCACTCAAGCGGCGCCGCAATGTTATCCATTGGGTTCCCGTTTATAAACCATACCAGGATCCGGTGATATTTGGTATGTCAGAACAAACCCGTGGTACGCCTTAGAGCTTTGTGACTGCGGGCTTTTGTCCTTCATACATCATAAGACGTTCGCTCGTCACCCCGAAGACCCGGGTTCGATTCCCCACATAGGCACAATGTGTGAAGCCCATTTCTGGTGTCCCCAGCCGTGATATTGCTGGAATATTGCTAAAAGCGGCGTAAAACCATACTCACTCACTCACTCAATTCATACATCATAAAAATGTTCACAGTGGCGTTTAACCCAACTCACTCCTCACTCACTCACTCAACTTACACAACATGGTTCCGAGTGGTTACATACTTTGAATGTTTCTCGGTTTGAGACGACCCCTACTTCATCCGCAGCTGCTCAATCTCTGAATCTGTGAAAGCAGCGAGAAAAACGGTTAGAATTTACTGTCAAGCAATAAAGATAGCTCCTGAATCGTAAATAACTGTAACCGAAATATATAGGGCAAGATATGATTAATTTGGAATAATTGGAGAACTTTACGAAACTAACTGTTTAAAAATCTTTGTTGATGTGCGTGTGGCTGGCCTGGGATGGGCTTAGAGTGGGGTGTGAGGGGTGTCCTTATTACCGAGCATCTCAGCAGGGAGCACCCGGAATTCATTCAATACATGAGAAGCCGTGTTCGCCGAAAGACAAAATAAATGTTGTTGGGTTTTTTCCTCAGACAGATGATTTACATCTTAGTGGAGGGGGAAGATCTACTAGCATCACAGTTCCTATTCATCCCTCCCCACTATCATCAAACAGTTGCTTTTCATCAGATATTGCTGTGGTTAGGTATATATTCAATAATATAGTCATGAGCCTCTCGACATTGGCATATTACCGGATTTCCCCTTATAGAAATTGACATTAGGGTAATTCGGTGGTTATTTATCCATATGTACAAAGGGTAGCAATTCACCTACATCTCGAGTTTTTCTAGCCAGCCACATCTGTGAAGCATCACACTGGTAAGGGGAGCCGGGAGGGACCACTAACGCCGTGCCCCAGGATCACAAACCCCATGCATTGTACTATGATCCGCTTCCCATTCTATAAAAGCCGTACGACACCATATACCTAGTAATTCCTCCTACACAAATGTCAGCCCCCTTGCACTGTATCAGTGTAGGGCTGTGAACGTGTGCAGGGACATTGTATACACAGTGTTGCATGGCTTGGCCAACTCTGTGACATGGGGAATCTCCGCCTTGATCTGTATTTGTAACACGTGTGCCTCGAGGCTCTCTGCTAGGGAGGTATAACGGTGTTTTTTGGCCTTTAAAGTTGTGTCTGCTTTCACCTGTTTCCCATTCTAAACAGTTGGGTTAAAGATAGACACCAGGCCATGCCAAACACACAGCAATATTAGACCCTTTTATCTTTTAACCAACAACAGTCTCAGACATTCTCAAAATATCGCTTTTAACAACATTGGGTTGTGTCATTATGATATGAGTTTCACAACATGGCAAAGGACTGGTAATTCGTTACAGGGGAGGGGCCGGAGGAATGTGTCCGGAGAAAGGAAGAAATGACACTGGAGTTAGGGGCACCATAATTAATCAAAATTAAGTGGAGTTCAGGGCCTAGATTTTCGAAGCTCTCTTAGCGCTAAGATAGTCGTAAGTGCCATACATTAACATTAACTTACGACTATCTTAGCGCTAAGAGATCTTCGAAAATCTAGTAGCCCAGGCGTATATCCCGATATTACTCCGCGTTGAGATATGGTTACTTGCATCTATAGTCTCACCAGTGTGATGATGAAGAGACACTGTTCTGTTTGTGCACAGAAGTTGAACATTACTCAAGGACTGGGCATTAATCCGGTAACCCAGTTTCAGCACCATTGTTTCAAATGGTGTGTGTGTGTGTGTGTGTGTGTGTGTGTGTGTGTGTGTGTGTCGATGGGGGAAAGAAGCAGGGTGTGGTTAGACCTCAGACCAATCTCGCCGCCTCTTGTCCTTTGATATACAGGGAGCAAAGTGGTACATTTATCATATTTTTTTAATCAACTCAGATTAAACTGACACGTCGTTTCAGAAGTAGATCTCTGCTCATTTAAACGTCTCATTTAATATACATGTAGTTATGTGATGGATAAATGCATGTACGGCGTCGACGTAATATCTAATTCTGTGACCTCAACAAAGCCATTAACATGTAGACTATATTCTTACGCTATACAATCAGCTGGTGATTGGGTGGCTCAAAGACAATGCGTTAGTGTGGCATGTCGTGACCCGGTGCGGCGGACGTTGCTTATGCTGTAACCATTGGTGTCTTTGGCCCAGACAAGACTATATACTCTATACGTATTACAGCTATAACGCGATCTGGTGCTCAAGCCCATCGTATCCCAGCTGCGTAGATCGATGCTCATGATTTCAGTCACTAGATTGTCTGGTCCAGATTCGATTAAGAGCCCGCCATCATATAGCTTGAATAATCTCTGAGTGCGGCGTTAAACAACAGATAACCCATGCAGCTACAATACTGCTGGGTGATATGCACATCTTTATTCATTCTCTCTTTTGGGGTGCGTTGAATTCCAACAAAGCAATTCTTGGAATTCTTCTATCAATTAGTTTCC